TTTATAACCATGTTCCTGCCAACATCTTTAAAGCGGGCTTCAAAATGAGAAGTTCACGGGTTAAGGTTTGCTTTGGAGAGGGTCTCGATGTTCTCAAGACTTTGTGACGACGATTGAGAAAGAAAAAAAATCCCCTCAAGATGTTCGTCACTTTCTGCTGAGAGAGCGAGAAGTCATGAATCGCCCAAAGAGCCTGAAGGCATCGCTGCGTCTCCTTCATGCTGGGAACATGGGATGAAGGCGGGGGGGGGGGGGGGGTTGTGAATTTCATGTATGGACAAATCTTCACTGCATGTTACGATGCATGATGACATGATCTGTGGAGCGCGGGGATCTGACACTGACAGAGGTATTCAGAGGAACATGTCTGAGCACAGAGCGACGGAGGAGCGTCTCCAGTCTGACAACAAACCACCTACACCACGTTTTCAAAGCGTTCAGCTGCATCAACTCAGCTGTTGTAGCAAAACGCAGTCAGGCTCAATAACATCTGGTATTTCTGGTATTTCTTTCCCATTTCACGAGACTGTTCGACTTCCCCTCCCCTGCATTTTGAAGGAGATATTGCATTTTTGACATTCTTCCACCCTTTATTTATTATTGAGACGTTTTCATGTGAAAGCACTAAATCCCCTCACATGCTGATCGCAGCTCACCTGGTGGAGCACCTGAAGGGGCGGAGTTTGAGTCAGATCCTCGCCCTTTGCTGCTCGTCATGGTCGCTGTCTCTGCCCCACGTTTTCTTGTCTGTCTTCACATTCCGTCGCTCTTTTTCAGTTCGAAGAAAAGAAGTCGATTTGGAATCAAAGATTTTGAGTTGGTGATTAAAGATTCTTGATAAATCGTGCAGAACGTTCTAGACGGTGCTGATGTGCTTGTTGGAGTTTGGCGTTGAACTCTGAGGGTGAAACCTGTCAGGAATCAGGGACATTTAGGGTCTTTGCTCAGCAGCGGGGTCAGACGGGTCAAACAATCCATTTGACACACAGGCAGGGGGCGGGGGGGGGTGACGGGGGGGGGGGGAGGTTCCTGGAGGGGGTTAAAGCGTTTAAACACACACTTTTGGTTCTGGTCCTCGTCTTTGAAACGACAGAGGCGGCTCCCCGTTCGCCCACACTTAGAATTAGCCAAAGTTTTATGAGCCTGAAAGCCGACACTCCCTCCTGCTCACCTCTCTGATTGGGATCAGGCCGTGGCGGTGGCCGAGGCGGTGGCGGCGGCTGCTGGAGGGTGGGTGGAGTCAGGGGGGTGTTCAGTCTAAATGTTCTCGTTAGAGGTCAGAGGTCGACTCGAGACCCGGTGATTCAGAGTTCAAAGTCGAGTCGTGAAACAAACACCACAGCAGAGGAGGGAAAAACACACGGAGCGGGTCGACGCTACAGGAGCCTGGAGGGGCCACAGAGGCTGCAGACAACCACCCGCCGTCTTTGATTGATCAGTGAAGTGTAATCGACTCGCATGGTGCTGAGATCAGGGCTGTCGGTGGACTAGTGGTTAGTACGGACGCCCCACGTACAGAGGCTGGAGTCCTGAAAGCGGGCAGCCCGGGGTTCAAAGCAGAGCTGTGACTTCTTTCCTGTGTGTCATCCCCCCCCCCCCCCCCCCCCCCCTCTCCCCGCTGTCCTGTCTCTAAAATAAAGGCACTATAGTCCTTGAATATTTTTTTTTTTAAAGGATTAGTTTTGTCAAACGAGTTAACTTTTAATCGGGATTAATCGCTGAATTTCAACAGCTAAAAGCGATTAAACCCGTTTTTAAAGCTGTATTTTTGGGCAATTTTAGATCAGATAGCTGATGAGAGACAGGAAGTGTCAGGAGGAGAGAGAGGGGGCCCGAGGTCACATTTGAACCCATGGTCCTGTGGACACGGGGCGCGTGACATAACCGCTAGGCTACACGGCGCTCATGTGTTTAAACATATTAAACCCCATGATGGAAATTAATTTATTTTGCATCTGAAAACTGTTTTAAATTAAAAAATTATTCAGTCGATGAAGAAGTCAAAGTCAAAGTCAACTTTATTGTCAATTTCAAAATATGCCAGACATACAGTGGAATCAAAATTGCGTTTGTCTCCGTCCCAGAAGAAGTGACATTGACAAGCACGTTTCTAAAAGTCCTCCATACTTTAACTCTCTGATCCAGGTCTACACTCCCCCCCCAACTTCCAAACTCCATGTGATCTGCAGAGTCCCTCTGCACCTTTAAGAAAAAGCTAAAGACCCAGCTCTTTCATGAATACCTACTAACTTAATGATGATGGTCTCCATATTATTGATGATGATGATGGTAATGACGATGGTTTTTGTTTGATAACGACGACTTATAAGATGGTTTCTATACTGATTAGAGCTCTCAAGAACTGCCCTCAATGTTGTGCTTTGCCTCTGGTCACTTCCTGTCAGCACCTGTGTGTCCAATCAGACTCAAAGCTGATCGTTTGCTCTTACTCACATTGTTCCCTGTTTTCTAGATCCTTGCTTGTGTTGTTCTTACTCTCTGATGTACGTCGCTTTGGATAAAAGAGTCTGCTCAGTGAATTGTAGAATTGTAGTTTCCAACATGAAATGATCCTCTACATGTCTGTGAGTGTTGTGTGTCTAACGTCAGCTCCGACTCAGGTGTTAAAATCTCTGAATTCCTTCAGTCACTACATGAACTCGGTGTCCTCTGCAGCCTGCGGAGGGTCACTCAGCCTCCCCGGGTAAATAAATGTAAAGAGAGCAAACAAAACAGAGACCAAATTCCCAAATGCTTGTCCTGTCCACAGCCGTCAGACTGATACGCTTCAGACCTGCTCTACACCTCGATAAGGTTTCTGTCGCTTATCTGAGCGCGGAGAGCAGAGACACTTCAGACTCCTGTTGTAAAATAAAGAAAAACCTGCAGAAAAAAGAGCAAAGAGGAACGTTGGAGCTGCTTCTGTTCATCACAACAACACTAACAAGATGTTTGAAGATGTGGGCAGAAACGTCCCCCCTAATGTGAGTAAGTGCTCAGTGCAACAATACGAGCAGCTAAATCCCCTTTAAACAAAGTGAGCGCAGGAGGAGGGGGTCTGGGGGGGGGGGGGGGTGTACTGTTTGCTCTGGGATCCAGACCCATCAGTCACCGTGTTTCTGCAGTCCGGAGCACATTCCTCGAGTCCTGCTGCGTTTTGTTCCCCTTACACTACAACAGCGACTCAGTCAGAGGGCGAGCGAGAGGCAGGCTGCTTAAACACAACAACAACGCCACAGTGACTTCACCGTTAATAACTTATACAAAGAGTGGACTCTGAACGTGCAGGGCAGATTTAACAAAGTCTAATAAAACCGACTATATGATCAGACATTAAGGAAACATGTTGAAGTGCTGGCTTCTCTGACAACAATGCAGCAGCCAGTATGTCCTCCTTCTAACTTTAGATTCTGCTCCTGAATGCTCTGGATTTGTTTGGACCAGAGAAGGTAGGCGCTTTTAAGACCCCCCCCCACACGGCCGTTTTGGACGCCCCTCGGTTTGTCAGATATGAGAGCAGTTATCAGGTCAACAGGTGTTGCAGCGATGGAAGCGGTCAAGAGAAGTGGTTCAGATAGAAGTGATTGTACCCGACCTAAAAAGCCTCTGCATGTTTCTAATAAGCTCCACGAGCAGAAACGTGCTCAAACTAGGATCAATATTGGAGATGCTTTTGAAAAATGGAGAGAGGTTAGAACACAGAAAGGTTTACAGACCCATGCAGAGCTGGATAAACACTGAAGCTTCAGAGTCCACCACATGGTGACCTGAGTGAGTTGCAGGGCTGCCAGGGGAGGGCTGCTCAGTGCTGGGAAAAGAGAGTTTATGAAAGAGGTTTCACCGGCTTGAAACCGCCTGGTGACTTTCTTGGTTTGATCTCGGGGATCTGTTGCATGATTTGCAGGACGAGCCTTCTGCAGACTGTTAACATCCCTCCTATCCGGAGAATGACTCACAGATGCATTTTTTCAGAAAAGGAAATAATCATCAAAAATTAGAGGAAGATGAAATCAGCTGGAGCTGTGGGAAGATCTAACGATAAAGGAAACATCGTTTCTCGGCTTGAGGAGAACTCCCCGTGACGCAGCGCTGCAGATGTGGTCTGGTTTACAGGAGGAGTCGATGAGGAGGTGCAGATGGGACGCCTCCTCTCTGTAATTAGAGCCATTTCCTCTGAATATAATGGGACTCCCAGAGACCAACTAGGCCTTAAAGTGGGACCGACCAGGCCGCCTGGTGACCTGGTTATGACGAGTGCTGTCGTTAAAACAATCTGTTCAAACAGACGCTGATTCAGAAGAGAAACTCTGACTGACAGTCTGTCAGATCTCTGTCCTGATGGGACTTTTCTTTCACCTCTTCCAGCGTTCAGATGTCACTCACGAGATGACTTTAGGGTGGTGCACATGAAATATTTGTGTTTAATCCTCATTAATGTGAGGAGCCCACACATGATGACAAATCATGACAGATTCAACAGTTTGGTTCTTAAAGTGTGCAGAGAGCAACGAGACGACCGACTCAGCACAACACAGCAACAGATGAATTCACCTCCTCACCTCTCTCTCAGAACTCGTCATCTCACGCCGTCAAACGAGACTTAAGAGTAAACAAACATGGCGGACGAGGAGCAGGAAGAATCAATGATGGTAGTTTTTGGACTCCTGTCACTGTATAATTACTTGTTGTTTTAATGCTCTCTTAACGCCTTGTGTTTGCTGCCGTCGCCATGGTTATGTTTGTTGATGCAGAGCTGGATAAACACTGAAGCTTCAGAGTCCACCACATGGCAACCTGCGTGAGCATGGACTCTAGAGAGGAGGGGAGACAGCTCTCTATGTTTTGAATCAGGACTGCAGTACCCATTTTAAACACTAGGTGTCAGTTACATATTGCTCCTTTAATGACTTTTTTCTTTATTGTTTAACCGTGATGTAAACGGCTGCAGAGTAAACGGTTACGATGAAGCACTTTGAGCGCTGACTGATGTCCATCGTTGTGTTTTTGCAGGTTTCTGAAAAGTACCCGGAGCTGAAGAAGAGGGGGCGGGTTCCTCACCCTCAGGATTTAGTAAAAGAGCTGAGTCTGCAGACCAACACCTCCAACGCGTGGAACAGACCTCGCTGTGGCGTACCGGACTACCCCGTCCAGAGGGAGGTGCATTATCGAGGCCGCCACCGCCAGAGACGCTTCGTCCTGTACGGAGGCCGATTGGAGAAGACTGACCTCACCTACAGGTAGGTACACACCTGCCGGCATTAGACACACTGAAAGAACAAGAAGCAGAAAGGGTCTGTTGTCCTGGGACGCTTCTCACCAGCGCTCGTTGTTGCTAGGTTACGAAAGTTTAACCTCTGCTTCGCTCGGTAACGTCCGTACGGTGTGTTCAAGAAAAAATGAAGACGATGTTGAGGGCTCATGTCGTGTCATCAGCAGCTCTACACCTGGAAACTGTTCCCTTTAAAAGACGAGTCAGACCAGCGTCTCCTCCGCCATTGTTGTCGACAAATCAGAAGTCCCGCCTCTTCTTGATTTTGATTTGTCGGTGAGGGAGAAATGACATCAACTGAGAGCGCTGTGAGCACATTTAAAAAACAAACAGCTGTTGTCAGGGTGCAGTGGCCTTGTGGTTGGTGTGCTCGCCCCATGTTCAGAGGCTGGGGTCCTAAAGAGCGTGCAGCCCGGGTTCAAATCCGACCTTAGTGACTCTTTCCACTGTCCTGTCTCTACAATAAAGACACAAAGGGTTTTCAGCGCTCAGGACGGTGAGCGCTGAAAACGCTGAACTACATCGCTTTTAAAAAGCGAGCGCTGCTGCTTGTGGACGCGGGACCCTTAAAAAGGAAAATAAAGTCTTGAACTTGTGACTTAAAGTAACGGAGCGCTGGTTTTCTTTCATACGAGTCCTGGGCGGCTCCATCGAGTGTCTGCCTCTCTGTCTGCGTCTCCTGGGGTCTCTCTCATTGTAGTCTCTCTTTATCACTTCAGTTTATTAAGACGGAGAGAGAGAGAGAGGAGGGGGCGGGCGAGCTGGTGGGCGCACTGACCACAGACTAATAACATTGTGCTGGATTGGACCAATAAAGCGCTCACATTTCTCCCTGACAGAGTGATGTGGTTAACCAAGGCTCAAACTGCACTCGTGCATGAGCGGCCCAGTCCCGGGGTTTACCTCTGAGTTAAGATCTGTTTTGAGCTTTGGAGGCGAGTTCTGGCGTGACACCTGAAGTCCCGCTGAGTCAGCAGAGAGCAGAGGTGTTTTAACGGCTTTAACGAAGCAGAAAAGGAGCTCGGGGGGGACTGAGCTCGTTAAGGCTCAGACCCCTTTGTTTTCCAGCCATAGTTTTTATCATTTAAGTTCTTTAACACATTTTTAGTGGAACAACTGGGACGGCACTTTGTTAAAAAAATTCCTAAACTTTTTTTTAAAGCTGAAAAAGAAAAGAAAAGGATGACAAATATCTTAAAGTCAGGGTCGGTCATTTCCTCCAGATCCTATTTTTAAAGATTTGGTGTAAATTGTCTTTAGGTCCTGACAGAAATGAAGAACTCATGTTCTCTGAAAAAGGAACAAAGAAAATCCATCATCTGTATCAGATTGTAAGTCTGTAAAAACTTCAACCAATGTCTGCCATGAGGTACCAATCTGATGAACCAATCAGACACCTCCCTGTCTCCCTGCTCACTCTCTACCTCTTACCTGCTCTAGCTCACACTCAAAGCTCGTCACCGATGACTTTAGGAGTTTAAACTGTGAGTTTACTGAATGAGACATGAGACGACGTAGTTTCTACACAATGAGACGAGCTGAGGTCCACTTCTGGAGGGACGGCGCTCGAGCATGTAAGTGAGGGGGCGTGGCTTTAGAGGGAGCACAGATGGGAGGGGGCGTGGCTTCAGAGGGAGCACAGATGGGAGGGGCGTGGCTTTAGAGGGAGCACAGATGGGAGGGGGCGTGGCTTTAGAGGGAGCACAGATGGGAGGGGGCGTGGCTTTAGAGGGAGCACAGAGGGGAGGGGGCGTGGCTTTAGAGGGAGCACAGAGGGGAGGGGTGCAGATGGAGCACTGAGGGAATGCTACTTTCAAAATCATGCTAGTTTTAAAAAATGATCAACCCTGCCTTTAGAATATGTAATGTGTGTCTCCAACAGCCTGATATCTTTCTTCTTATTGTCCAAAAACGATCAGAACACTTCACTGTTCCTCACTTTTGTACTGCTGACATCCATCCTTCCATTTTATTCCGCTTATCCGAGGTCGGGTCGTGGTGGCAGCAAGCGCTTTAAGTCAACCCAGACTTCTTCAGCTCCTCCTCCTGAGGGCTGAACGGGATACACAGTATAATCCCTCCACTGATTCTGAGTCTGCCCCGGGTTCTCCCAGCTGAGTCTGCCCCGGGTTCTCCCAGCTGAGTCTGCCCCGGGTTCTCCCAGTTGGGCATCCAGGAGGCATCCGTTACAGATGCCTATACCACCGAGACGTTTCTATGATTAACATGAACACACACTCAGTCAGTCCATCCTGCGTTCCAAGAGCATCGAAATGTGGATCCGTCCGCTGCTGGAAATAGTCCCAAAAATGTAGTAAATTGTCTCTTTGATGAAATGACCTCGGGACATGTTAAAGATTGTGGTTTCTTGGAGTGAAGCGACAGAGACGATGATCCAAAGGGCGTGAATAACACTCAGGTGTAACTACCTGTTTGAAGCTCAGCAGTGTGGGTGCGATGAGTCACATCAAGGAAAGAATGTCATCTTTAATCTACTCTAATCCGTCTCCGTTACTCATCTTCAGGTTTTTACTGGCAGAAGGATTTTTTTTTTAGGTATTCTTCAAACTGATAGACTTTCTTCATTTTGTTAAACCAGCACACACTGTGTGATTTTAGGCCGACTTGATGCTAGCAATGACGGCTAACGTTAGCCGTGGCTGCTCGCCATCTCACCTCTCCTGACTGACCTCTGGACTCCAGCCAGGCGTCTGAAACATCCTCTAAATGTCTCCAACAGGACCGTCAATACGCAGATGAGCGTTATGAGCACAGTCTGACGATCACAGTGACATCACTGAGAGCTAAACGCTGCAGATACATCCGGGGGAATAAACTCCCGCATCATGATGTGGATATTTAGAGTCACTCTGCAGACATCCAGAGCACCTTTTAACCACGTTTAGTCACCAAGTCCTAAGTCCTTAGACCAAGTCCGGAAATTGGCCTGGTAGCTGGAGAGGTCCACTTCCTGAGTACTGCCGAGGTGCCCTTGAGCAAGGCACCTAACCCCCCCACCAGCTCAGGAGCGCCCACTGTGGGCAGCCCCCTCACTCTGAAACCTCTCCATTAGTGCATGTCCACAGGATCCTGTTTGTGCATGTGTGTGTATTTCAGCCTGTGTTTGTGTAGCATGTTCACTAAACAGAGTGTAAAAACAAATTTCCCCTCGCGGGATCAATAAAGTATAAATTATTATTATTATTATTAAATTAAGGTCATAATTTCACCACGACGCACTGAAACAGCTCTCTGATTGGTGGGTCAGTGGACCAATCAGAGAGCCAACAAAGGGTCAGTTGACTCAATCCAGTAGAAAACTGATTATCTCAAGTTTTTTAAATCTTTTCTTCCTTTGAGTGGAAGACGTACCTTTAAATTTAAAGCTCTACCACGCCTTCCTACCCCCTTAATTCAGAGGCCTCTGCTTGAAGACCTTTGTCTTTACCACCAATTGATATTGAATTCTTAACATCAAATATGATCCTTAGATGCAATGTGTTATTATTGTTTTATTTTATATTTAGAAGGTTCTTTCACGGCTCGGGCAGTTTGAAGCTGAAACTTTCAATGACAGGAACAAAAGGAGAAACGATCCAAAGATAAATCATCTCCCTGGAAACACCTTTTAATCTCACTAATTAACATGCCGTGTCTTGTTTGACGATTTAGGGGGATTAACATGTTGGAACATTTTCTTTTTGTGCAGCCAGGTTTGGTTCCAGTGTGCCAAACTGAAAAACGTGTGCATACCGATGGTAACTGGCAAACAGCTTTAGAGCTGCACAGAGAACTTAACAGGTCCTGACACATGAGAGTGTTTGCAAACATCTTATTCCACTCAGGGCGAATCAGCCTGTTAAATGTTGAACTGGTCCTTTAAAGGCTTTAAATGCGATTTTTTTGATCCAGCAGATGTCGCCCTTGAGCACCAGCATGAAACCAAAACAACTGGCGCTGCGTTGTTGTGTTAGCATGCTAATGCTAGCGATCTTTATTATGCTGGTATCTTCACACTGCATGTAAATTTACCTGAAATGAGCGTGATCTAGAAACACAGTTAAGCAGTGAGTACAGTATGTTATTCTTCTTTTCTCTAGTCCCTCAATTAAACAACTTTTATACGTGAGGGGAGGAGTCAGCCGGCTGTCCCGGCGATGTAAACAAAGTGAAGATAGGACTCTGAAAACTCTGAAAACATCACAGACAGTGGGACTCGGGTGTTACACCCATTGTAGACAGTCATGACTCACAGAGTTATTTTCAGAGGAGATACTTGATTTCTACATTTAAGTGTGAAACATCACATATTAGTAATATTTAAGTCTCGTATGAATGTGCAGCGCCACATCGCTATAACTTAAAAAGGATAACAGGACAGTTGTTGTTGTATAACTGTTGTATAAAAGTAATATCACCCAGCAGTACTTCTCCCCTCCAGAGTCTCCTGTGGACCAGGACCAGAGCTGTATCAGTTCAATGGCGAGGACGGGAGACAGGACGGATGCTCAAATGCTGCATGCAGGCGCTCCTAAGCGTTCAGCTTTTCCCGACCGGAACAAACGCTATGTAAACACGCCCCGTGTCCACCTCGCGCAGAAAAGCGCTGGCTGTGCACTTAGGGGCGTTTGCATGCAGCGTTTCAGCATCCGTCCTGTCTCCATGACAACAGTGTGTTGATAATGGCCACTGTACGACCGACTCTGCTCCGTTACTTTTTACTGCAGGTTTTATTTTTGAGATTGTTTATTCCCTGAAGCGCTGGGCGCTGACGCCTTTTTCTCCAGACGTCCGCCTTGAAAACAAAAGAAGAAAAGACGCCGGCGCTCAGAAAAAAACACGAGGTGGACACGGGGCCTCAGAGTTTGTGGATGAAGGTCAGTTTACAGACGTTCTGTTGAGCTGTGCGTCTGTTCAGAGACGATTAGACACGAGAGGAAACACTGGAACAAACACGACAGGAAGAGAGAAGACGTCGGGTGTAGTGAGGACCAGGACTTAAAGACACCCAGCCGAGGCAACAGGACCCTGGACACCCTGAGGCATTGTGCTAATCATTAGCATTTAGCATCACAGCTAAAGAAAAGATTTTATATCCATTATTAAAAAACAAGTTGAGAAGCTCAGTCTGTAGGGTTGGGAACCAGAGGGTCACCGGTTCAAGTCCCGGTGCAGACCAAGCATGGAAGTTGGTGCGGTGGAGAGGTGCCAAACCCCCTCCCCACTATCAGCTCAGGAGCGCCCACTGTGGGCAGCTCCGTCACTCTGACACCTCTCCATTAGTGCATGTCCATAGCATCCTGTTTGTGTGTGTGTGTGTGTGTGTGTGTGTGTGTGTGTGTGTGTGTGTGTGTGTGTGTGTGTGTGTGTGTGTGTGTGTGTGTGTGTTCATGACTACAGAGTGTAAAAACTGAATTTCCCCTCACAGGGATCAATAAAGTAAACCTTCTTCTTCTTTAACACCAAACATGAACGGTTTCTTATAAACCTCACAGTTTAAACACAAACCAGAATCAGCGGGGCGCTGGTGGCTCAGTGGTTAGAGCGCATGCCCCATGTATGGAGGCTGTAGTCCTCCAAGCGGGCAGCCCAGGTTCAAATCCAGCCTGTGGCTCCTTTCCTGCATGTCATTCCCCTCTCTCTCTCTCTCTCTCTCTCTCTCTCTGATTACCGACTCTATCCACTGTCCTATCTCTCCATTAAAGGCACAAAAAGCCCCCAATAAATAAATAAATCTAAACCAGAATCTGTCAAAGTTTACGACACTTTATTGAATCATTTATCGATCATGGACGATGTCGAGTCTGAGCTGGATCCTGACTCGTCCACAGTCATGCTCTGGAGCGTTTCTTCATCTCCTCCCCCGGCAGAATCTCCACAGCCGCTCAGACACACATCTCTCTGCTCTCCTCCTCTGTGCTCGCTCTCTTCTGTCTGGAGGCTCAGGCTGACCTCGTCCGCGGCGTGCTGATGAGCGATCAGCACCCTCTGCCTCATGTAATCCTGAATCTCCCTCAGAGTGTTTGAGTGATCCTGAATCTCTCTCATCAGGTCTTTCTTAAGCTCGTCCACATGTTGGCCCGTCCTGTCCAGCAGGGTCTGGTACCCGTTGATGACCCCCTGTGAGTCCTCCAGCTGTTTCCAAGCTTCTTGGAACATCTTGTTCTGGACACTTGACTGGTTTTCGTTCTCCAGGATGGTCTCCTTTGAGTCCTCCAGCTGCTTGATGAGAGCTCCTCGCTCTGCTGAGAACTTCTCCTGAATGACGATGTGAGCCACTTTCAGCTCCTGGAACTCTTTCTGAAGCACCTTCTTCTTCTTCTTCCTGATGTCACTCCCCACGGCGGTGGCGATCCTCTGTGCGTTCTGAGTCTGCTGGTCACTGAGCCTCCACAGCCTCTCCAGCTCACACCGCGCCTCCTTCTCCTTTCTGATGAACACCTCTTTGACGTTCTTCTGACAAGCCAGCTCCTCTCGGGTCTTCTTCAGCTCCTCTCGGGTCTTCTTCAGCTCCTCTCGGGTCTTCTTCAGGGCCTCGTCTCTGAGCTGCTGCCTCGCCCTCTGCTCTCGGACGACTCTGTCTCCTTCCTGCTGTCTGCCGTCCGTCTCATTAGTTGTTATCTGAACTTCTTTCTGGAGAGAATCGGCTCCGATGGTCTGTTTCTGCAGCTCTGTCTTCAGCTCCTCCAGCTGCTTCAGCAGAGCGTCCTTCTCCCGCTCGCAGTCTCTCAGCCTCAGGGCGGACTTGTGTGGTGTGAGCTCCATCTCCATCGGTCTGTGCAGATGCTTTCTCTGTCTCTGTGTTGGAAAATGTTTTGTTTCTGAATGAAAAGTTTCACTTGTATCTTTTAACCTGCTGTTGTCATGACAACAACATCACTGCTGTTTGTGTTCTTTTTAAACTCTCCTACATGACTGTGTTCTTCATGAGCAACCTCTTTTGATAAAAAACAACAACTGGGCATATTTGGGATTCTTGTTATCAGTGTGGGTTGCCTGGCAACCAAAGAGAAACCAGGAAGTCACTGAGCCAAGTTTCAGGTTCCAGCTTTACAGGTGATGGGCAGGTGTTTATTTTAAAGTGTTGCACCTGTGCAAGGTGAGGTGTTTCACCAGGTGAGAAGCTACACCTGACTCTCTACTCTGAGCCAAAACAAAAAGGGTTTAGACGTCTCTGTTGTTATTTGACACTAGCTGTAGATGAAGGCTGTACGCTTTAGCTCTCCCCTCATCATGATGCTTTGTCACATCGTACAAACATTAGAGTTTGTGGATGAACGTCAGTGAACAGAAGTTATTTTCAGACGTTAGTCTGTTCAGAGACCACGAGAGGAAACTCTGGAACAAACACGGCAGGAAGTGATTTAAAAAAAATAACTTTTACCAGGTAGAACTTCCTTTTGCATTGCAACCACAGCGCAGTCCGTGTTGTGTCGAGTAGACTTCAGATTTGCACACAGGCGTTAAGTTATGAAGTATTCTGTGTCCTGCAGGTCAGGAAAGGTTCACTCCTTTATTTCTCGTTTCACTCGTTTCATCTAAAGAGGAACAGGAGGAGACGCCGGCGCTGTGATTTGAGGGAGCAGCAGAGATCAGATTAGAGGGAGGCATGGTGGTCCCTCTCTGCTCCTGTATGCCCTGTGTGTGTGTGTGTGTGTGTGTGTGTGTGTGTGTGTGTGTGTGTGTGTGTTTTTGACACCTGTATTCTCCCGCAGGATCGTCAGGTTCCCTTGGCAGATGGGCGAGGAAAAGGTCCGCCGTGTGTTCCGGGAAGCGCTGAAGATCTGGAGTGACGTCACGCCGCTCACCTTCACCGAGGTCCACAGCGGGAAGGCCGACATCCGCATCGACTTCACCAGGTGAGAGGAAGTAGAGGAGGGACAAGATGATCTGAAAAAACAGAATTATAAAGGCAAAGGAGCCAAAAGGAGCCAAAAGACTGAGGACCACCTGGCGTTTTTTCTGGGCATTAAAGCGCTGGTTGTACGCGATCTTATTCTTTCAGTCACTACCCAAAGCTCATGAGCACAGGTGAGGGTTAGAACGAGGATCGAGCTTTACCTTCAGGCTCAGCTCGCTCTTCACCACGACGGTCCGGTACAACGCCACACATTACTGCAGAGTTAACCAATCCACCATCCATAAATGTGAGGACAGGTGGACATTTATGAAGTCGAAATTTTTCCTGAAGAAATGGACTTCAAAAATGTCAAAACATTTCATGTTTTTTTTTTTTAACGTTAAAAAGGTCAAAACATTTTCACAAAAAACTATTTGACTTCAATGTCAAAAAATTGTATGATTTTTTTATTTATTTAAAAAATGTCGAACATTTTTCATGAAAAAAAATTGACTTAAAAAATGTCGAAAGATTTATATGAAAAATGTTGTTTATACGTTAAAAATGTCGAAACAACACCTGGAGGGCACGACCCCTCCGTTCTCCAGCAGAAAATCTTTGAGATTGATTGCACATTCACACACAACATGTCCAAACTGCATCTCTTATTTATAGAAGCTAAAACGATTACATCGCAGTCATCAACAACGTTGTGTTTAGTGAAACGTTCTTAAATGGTTGGAACGACGTCTAAAAGGCGGGCTGACCTCAGATCTGAAGTTTTGGATAAAACTAAACGTTTGAGTTTTGATAATCTGTGATGTTTTAAATGTCGACCTTGAAGTTCTCCATACTGTACGCTGTCTTTGTTCTCTCATGTTTGATTCACTCACCTGCAGGTACTGGCACGGAGACAACCTCCCCTTCGACGGCCCGGGTGGGATCCTCGCTCACGCCTTCTTCCCCAAAACGCACCGACAGGGCGACATCCACTTCGACTACGACGAGTCGTGGACCCTCGGGAACCACATGGGTGAGAGATCGTCTGAACAAGACAGATGTGACTCTTTCTGTTTGACATGATTACAATAACAGAACATCAGTGAGAGCTTTTCTGCACTCGTTTCAAAACTAAAACCTCATTTTAAAAGTTCTTTAAACTGCTAACAGGATTTGCTTGTTAAAATAATAGCAATAGTTTAATTTCGAGCCAGTTAGAGTCTCTTACAGCCGTGAAAAGGAAAATGAGCTCAAGCTTAAGCATCATATTCACAAACAATTATCACAACAGTCTCTCTTCCCTTTTTTACTTTTGTAAGTGATGCAAAAATGTATGACTCAGGGTATCATCTCAGGCAGCAAACTCCCCCTGTCTGCTCTTCAAGCAACTGTGTGAACCCCCCTCCCCCCTCCTCTCCCCCTGCAGGTACAGACCTCCTGCAGGTTGCTGCCCATGAGTTCGGGCACGTCCTGGGCCTGCAGCACTCCAGAGAGCCGGGGGCCATCATGTCCGCTTACTACTCGTTCTCCTACCCGCTGAGGCTGAGCGAGGACGACAAACAAGGCATCCAGTACCTGTACGGCGCCCACCCTCATGTGCTGCCTCCTCCCCCGCCGCCACCCCCGTCCAACCCAGAGACCAACGAGATCGTCACCAATGTGAGTGGAAACAAACTTTACGTGTTTGAATCGAAGATGACACATAAGCTAAAAATAACTGCTTGTTTCTCCGAGGATTAAAGTTACGATCAAAGATTTAATGAAATAATGATCACAAAACACAACAAAGCATTTCTGTGTAAACCCCCCCCCCCCCCCCCTCTCTATTTCAGCCCTGCTCAGAACAGACTGTTTCTGTGTCTGTACCTTTAAATATGTAAATGAGCTGTATCTGACCACGCCCCCTCTCTGGAAGGGCTTGGGTATACTCGGTCTTTCTCGCTCCATGTCCTATTGTTACGGTGAGAAGGCAGACTCAGAGGGCAGAACAAACACCTAGCTGTGGGAGTGTCACCCACCTGGGGGAGGGGCTACTGCCCTTTGTGATGTCATGAAGGGAAAATCTCCAAACGGCCTGTTTGAGCACACATTTCTGAAAAGTGGAGCAGGCAGAAGACGGAGAGGATGGACTTTTCTCATCATTGGGGGGTTTGTAGACGGACCAGAGGAACATGGTGAAGTGGATTTTTAATTAAACCGACCTCAAACAGTTTGTCAATTCAGAGTTTCATCTTCTAACAGAGGTCAGTGGATCCCTACTCATCTGGAAGGGAAATACATTTGGGACTATTTTCAGCGATTGATTGATCTACATTTTGTGGCGTCCCTGGTGACTTTGATTCTCTGTTTGAGTCAGAATAAATGAGTGTGTGGGCTCACTGATGTGTGTTTAAAAGATTTCTGACAACAATGGAGCCTCTGTGTCACAGCGGAGGAGAATATCCACAGGGAGTATTTGTTTGTACGATCCCACTGGATTTGTTTTGGGAAGAAGAAAA